AGCGAGGAGTCGTCTGAAAATGAAGAGGAGGCCCCTGCGGGGACCCCCAGCCAGGTGAGGCCCCGGGGGAGCCAAGGCACAGAGGAGTGGAACAGAGCGTGCAGACCCCATCCACGGGCGACCGCTGCTCCTCAGCTTGGTCAGGTTTGCTGTGCCCAAGGGCTACCAAGTGTTGCGTGGGCGTCCCTCTTTTAGGAGTGCAAATGTGAACTTTTACGTAAAATCTGCTTTTCCTACATTGACTCAACAATTTAAAAAGAATCAGGCTAAGCACAGCCTGTCTGGAGCAGCCTGTACCTTCTACAAGGGAAGGTTTTTAGAGTATCAGAGCTGCTGTTTTCTAGGGGGGCGACCCAGGGCTGAGTGGCCAGGGCCTTTCCAGGGAAGACGGGCCCTCCTTTTGCTAGGGCCCCAAGGCAGTGCAGAGCCTGAGAACGGCAAGGCCGAGTTAGTGAAGAGGCCAGCGTGGAGACCTCGCCCGTGAGGCTGAGGACGGGCTTCCCAGGGTCCTGCTGCTTTCCACATGCAGAGCCCAGAGAGGGCCTCCCCCAGTCCCTTCCGCATGTTCAGACTGCCTCCTCCCTCGGGCCTCTGCGCCCCCTCCCCAGCCCAGTCAGGTATGCTCCTGGAGGTGCCGATGCCCACAGAGCTCTCCAGCTGATGGGAACCCAGCAGGGGACAGGGTGTAACCACCCTGTGTGCTAGGGCAGCCGGGGGGCCTCGGGGAGAACCGCCCTGGAAAAGCAGTGTCTGTCTGGGACCCAGAGGCTGAGGAGGCAGTGGCCAGGTAGAAGGGGGCAGGGGGCGTGAGGCCCCAGGAGTGAGAGTGTGACACTGGTGCATTTTTGAGGGACCAGAATGTGGCTGGAGCACCAGCTGGCGCCCGTGGGAGAGAAGCAGGGTGTCTTTTGCACCGATTAAGGCCTCTGGGCTTTAGCCTGAAGGCATCATCAGAGAGTTTTCAGAGACAGGAGAACAACTGCTCTTTCTCTTTTACCAGGTAAAAGCCTCCGAGAAAATTCTTCAGATCCGAGCTGCCTCGGCCCCTGCCAAGGGGACCCCTGGGAAAGGGCCCACCCTAGCACCCCCTGGGAAGGCAGGGCCCATAGCCACCCAGGCCAAAGCAGGGAAGCCAGAGGAGGACTCGGAGAGCAGTAGTGAGGAGGAGTCGGACAGTGAGAAGGAGACACCTGCTGCCAAGGCCCCGCTTCAGGTGAGGCCCGGGGAGGGAGACCCCAGGCGCGCCTCAACCCCAGGCCCTCTCCCCACTCACTGTGTGGTCGTCTGTCTCTGCTCTCCTGTGTCTCCTCACATGTCCGCCCTCTGGGCTCTGTTCTGTTTCTCACCACAGGGGAGGCCCTCAGAGAAGACCCCCCAGGTCAGAGCTGCCTCAGCCCCTGCCAAGGAGTCCCCGAGGAAAGGGGCTGTCGCAGCACCCCCTGGGAAGACAGGGCCTGCAGCTGCCCAGGCCCAGGCGGGGAAGCAGGAGGAGGACTCGGGGAGCAGCAGCGAGGAGTCGGACAGCGATGGGGAGGCCCCGGCAGCCGTGAGCCCGGCCCAGGTGAGGCTGGAGGACACCCTGCACGGCCCACGCCCTGCCTCGGAATGCCTCCTGTGGGCTTTCCTTCCCTCTGTGCCTAGCGCCTGTGCGGCTCCGTTTGCCTGCCTACTGCCTGTGTCTTCACGCACGTTCTCCCTCTGGGCTCCCTGCCCTGATCTCGTCCTTTGTCACTCCCAGGCAAAGCCCGTGGGGAAAAACCCCCAGGTGAGACCTGCCTCCACCCTGGGTGTGAGGCCCTCGGGGAAAGGCACCATCCCAGTGCTCCCTGGGAAGGCGGGGACCGCACCCCCCTTTGCCCAGGTGGGGAAGCAGGAGGACCCAACGAGCAGCAGTGAGGAGTCGTCAGACAGTGAGGGGGAAGCTCCCACAGCCGTGGCCCCGGCCCAGGTGAGGCCCCATCTGTCCTGTCAGGCTCTTCTTTCCCCATCAATGCAGAGCCCCACGAGGCCCCCACCTGCCTGCCCTCTTTCCACACTGAGACTCTGTCTGCCTTCGCAGTCTCTCGTGTCTGCACACGTCCGCCGTGTGGGCCCCTCTCCTGATCCTGTGCGTTTCGCTCCAGGCAAAGCCCTCGGGAAAAATCCTCCAAGTCAGACCTGCCTCCAGTCCTGCCAAGGTGCCATTGGGAAAGGGGACTGTCCCTGTGGGCCCTCAGAAGGCAGGGCCTGTGGCCACTCTGGTCAAGGCTGAAAGGTCTAAGACAGACTCAGAGAGCAGCGAGGAGTCGTCTGACAGCGAGGAGGAGGCGCCAGCAGCCGTGCCTCCGGCTCAGGTGAGGCTGGGGGAGGAGGCCGCTGTGCGGCCTGACCCCCCACTCCGCCGTCAGCACCGCAGGGAGCCGTGCTGCTCTTCTGTCGCAGCGCAGGTTCCAGCTGGCAGGGAAGAATGGCAGTGGGGCTTCACCCCAGAATGGACGAACGGGGGGCTCTGAATCCAAGAGCCTTCTCCAGCCCATCTTCGGTGTCCCCTCAGGCAAAACCAGCTCTGAAAACTCCTCAGACCAAGGCCTCCCCAAGGAAAGGCACCCCCAGTACCCTTGCGTCTGCCAAGACCCCCTCTGTGCGAGTGGGCACCCCAGCCCCTTGGAAAGCAGGAGCAGTGGCTCCTCCAGCCCAGAGACCAGAGGAGGACTCTTCTAGCAGCGAGGAGTCAGAGAGTGAGGAAGAGGAGGCGGCTCCTGTGGCAGCAGTGGGACAGGTGAGCCGTGCGTTTGCTGGGCTGCCCTCAGGGCCAGCCCCCATGTGGTCCTTTGGGCTCCTGTGAGAAACTTCTCTTCCACTTGTCATCCCAGGCGAAGTCTGTGGGGAAAGGCCTCCAAGCAAAAGCTGCCTCAGTGCCCACCACGGGGCCCTCAGGGCAAGGGACTGCCCCAGTCCTTCCCGGGAAGACAGGACTTGCAGTCACCCAAGTCAAAGCAGAGGCGCAGGAAGACTCCGAGAGCAGTGAGGAGGAATCCGACAGTGAGGACGCAGCCACAGCTCCAGCGCAGGTGAGGCCTGGGAGGCGCCAGCCCATCCCCCACACACCTGTGCCTGTGCAGAGCTGAGGATCGGCTTGTCTGGGGCCACCTTGCCCCCAGCGTGCAGAACCTCGTTCCCCACTCGTCGCTCTGTGTCTCCTTTGCCTTCTGGAGCTCCAGGGTCTCCTTCGTGGCTTTTTGAGCTCCCCCTGGTTGCCTGTGCTTTCCATACACTCTGTGGAGGTCCCACTCTGCCGGGCGCCCCCCTGCTGGGGGACTGCTATGGCCCTGGCCCTCAGGGAGGTCCCGCCTCGATGGGGACATAGATGAGTGCACAGGTTCTTCCAGCATGGTGTGATGGGACTGTGGTCGAGGGTGCATCTGGGCTGCGGAACGCGACAGGTGAGAGCGTCCAGGGCTTTTGGAAGCAGCAATGACGTCTGAACCCTGGGCCGAACGAGGTGGCCTGGTGACATGTTGCAGGCAGAGAAAGCAGCCTGTGCGAGGCCGGGGGATGGGAGAGTGCCTGGCTCTGGTGACTTGCCACAGACAGCACGTTCTGGTGGGATCACGCCGTAGGGTGTTGGGGTGGATGGCAGGGGTTGGGAGGCAGACTGCCTGGGTTCGAGTCCCAGCTCCACATGCTGGCATGTGATGTAATCCTTCGGAGCCTCCGCTTACTCTCCTGCAGAGTGGAGATCAGCCCCGCAGGTTAGGGTGAGACCTCCCCTGCCGCACCCAGCAAGGGGCCTGCACGCAGCCAGCCCTCTGCCCCGTCACTCTGAGGGTGGGCGGGCTACTGTGGAACAATCAAGAGTTGGCTCTCCCAGCCGGGAGGAGCTGAGGGCAGTGAAGATAGCTCACTCCCTATACTCACCCACCCACTGTTTATTATTTTTAATTGTCATTCTTTTTATTTTTTTTCAGTAACCACTCAAATTAGTCATTTCTCTTTTCCCCGTACCAGAGCACACATTTCTGTAGATTTTTTTTTGTCCCCATCTCACTGTTGACTTGTGGAACCCAAGTTCCCAGGATTCCTCTGCTGAGGTTTTAAGGCACGCAGGGGCCCCTTCCAGGGTCTCAGCCCAGCAGGCTCTTCCGCCCTTCTCCAAGCTGCAGGCACATTCCAGACTCAGTGCCTCGCGGAGTTGCACTGTGCAGGTCACGTAAATATTTGTCTTCCCATCTGAGCCTCCTACCTGTACCATGAGGTGGGTGTTTTGTTTTTATTCTTTGAACCAGGGGTTATTTAGAAGTGAGTTGTTTAATTTCCAAATATTTGGGATTACCCAGGTTTCATTTTGTTGTTGATTTCTAATTTAATCATATGTGGTTGGAGGACATGCTTTGTGTGATTTTAATTCTTTTTTTAGGTATGGAGACTTGTTAGGTCAAGCTAGTCTTTGTGTCTTTTGTTTTGTTCTCTCTCATCTGTGTAAGAGACATGACTCCCCTCTGGCAGGCTGAAGTGCTACGCTGATGAGCGCCTCGGCCTCAGTCACACAGTCCACGCCTTAGGGAATTTGTCTTCTTGAAGTCTTGACTCTTGGTTTCGCCTGGTCTCATGTAGATGAGGGATGCTAAGAGGAGGGGGCGTCTTCTGACACTGACCAGATGAAATCTCTGAGTGAGGCAGAGGCCTTGAGATGCTGCCAAGTTCCTCGTTTGGTTTCACATTAGCAGGGCTTGCTCTCATCTCTCTAGATATATATTAGCTAGAGACCAGGACAGGCCTTTTAGGGATTCCCTGGATATCAGTTAAGATTAGGTGAAGCTGAAGAAAACCTCAAACAGCAATGGCTTTCTGTCTTGTTCTGCCATCCTCAGTATCTGGCTTCACCTCATGGACTAAGGTGGCTGTTTGAGCTCCAGCGATTAGCTCAGCATTCCAGCCAGCCAGGAGGGAGAAGAAACATGTTTCCTACCTTTTATGGCACTCAACTCACATTCAGTAGCCAGAATTTAATGACATGGCCACCTGGCTGAAAGGGAGCCTAGAAAACACCTTTGTTCTGGGTAGTCTTGTGCTTGGCTAACACTAAGAAAAGGCTATAATAATAGGTTTATTTGAGTGCTTATTATGTGCCATGCACTGTGTTAAACTCTGAACCTCCTATTTAATCCTCACAATAACTCTATAGGTGGGCCTCATTATTATCCCCATTTTACAGAGGAGGAAACTGAGGCCCAGTGAGATCAAATGATTTGCTTGGGTTCACACAGCTATTAAATGGAGGCGCCAGACTCTAAACTCAGGTATCTGACTCCCAAATTAGTGCTCTTGGCTAACTGCTCTACTGTGTCTCACCTTCTCCCTCCGTATTTCCCTTTTCTCCTTCCAGGTAAAGGCCTCGGTGAAAATGCCTCTGGCCAAAGCCAGCCCAGCTGCCACCAGAGTGTCTTCAGCCAAAGGGGCAACGTCAGTTCCTGGAAAAGGTGTCGCTGCAGCTGCTCAAACCAAACAGGGGTCCACAGCCAAGGCACGTGGGGCCAGAAGCCACAGGAGGTGTCGGGGTTGGGATGGAGAGGAGGACCAGGCACTGCCCCTGCCTGGACAAGGGCCCTGCGTGGGCAGGGGTGACCTCCCACAGTGACGCCATGGTGGGGAGCTTAACCTAAAAGGAATCATGTTGTCCACTTCCATCCCTGATACCGTCGTCTCACCATTCAGGCAAAGCCACCAGCAAGAACCCTCCAGAACAGTGCCGTCTCAGTGAGGGCCCAGGCACCTGTGCCAAGTGTGGGGAATGCAGGGGCCACAGCAGCCCAGGCCCAGACAGGGCCGAGAGAGGAGGACTCAGAGAGCAGTGAGGAGTCGGACAGTGAGGAAGAGGCGCCAGCTCCGGTGAGGCCCAGAGGGCAGCCCTGCGCTTTCCTCTCGTGCTGGGAGCCATAGGCGTGCCGGGGCCCCGCCCTTGCATGGGGCACAGCTGCGTTTGCCCCATCGGTCTCCTGTGTCTCCTCACACATCCACCCTCCGGGCTCACCCCTCATTCTGTTTCTCACGCCAGGCAAAGCCTTTGGGGAAGACCCTCCAAGTCAGAGCTGCCTCAGCCCCTGCCAAGGAGTCCCCGAGGAAAGGGGCTGCCCCAGGAACTCCTGGGAAGACGGGACCTGCAGCCGCCCAAGCCCAGGTGGGGAAGAGGGAGGAGGACTCGGAGAGCAGCAGTGAGGAGTCAGACGGTGAGGGGAAGGCCCCGGCAGCCGTGACCCCAGCCCAGGTGAGACCCACCAGCCAAGCTACCACCACCCACACCTCCATCAGAACTGGGGTTCTGGCTGGGCGCGGTGGCTCGTGCCTGTAATCCTAGCACTCTGGGAGGCCGAGGCGGGAGGATCAGATCGTTTGAGCTCAGGAGTTTGAGCACTGGGGTTCAGGGCCAGGTAAGGAAGGAAGACCAGCTTAAGGCTCTCACTTCAGGATCCCTCACCCCGGCTGCTGTCCTGCACGTCTCCTTAGATAAAACCCATAAAACCCCCAAACCAAGGCCTCGCAATGAAAGGCGGCCTACTTGCTCCGTCTGTCGAAGCCTCCGCAGCACGCGCAGACACCAGCCCCCTGGAAGGCTAGGTCTGCAACTCCTGCCAAGGCACATGAGGCCAAGAAGCCAAAGACGTCCCAGTCAGAGAGTCATGAGGAGGCTTGAAGTGTGGGGCAGGTACCCTGAGGCCCTGGGGAAGTGGAGGAAGTCACCTCCCTCTCCTATGCTCAAGACTACTCACATAGGTGCATCTCCCAGGGAGTGGGAAGAGAGGAAAAATCCAGACAGGTTTCCTGTCTGCTTGCAGAAGGCAGCAGGGCCTACTACGTCCTACAGAATTGCAGGGCGGCACCCTCCACTACTGCAGGACTCGGGCGTGTGATGGAAATGATTGACACAGGCCTGGTGGAAGTGACAGGTGGCAACTGGCCTGGTGCCTTGGTGTCAGGAGAGACAGTAGGGAGAAGTGATAAGTAGGGCAACCTGGAGAACCCTTGCCCATCTAGAGGGACACTCCTATCAGCTATCGTGACTATGGAAATGTGCCCTCCATGTGGCCAGGTCTTCCTTTTCTTAAGGAAGTCCTCGCGCCAGGCCAAGCTCCATCCCTTCTTAGATTTCTTTTTTCTTCATGAATGAAACCAGCGCCGTGGCCAAGCGCAGTGGCTCACGCCTGTAATCCTAGCACCCTGGGAGGCCTAGGCAGGAGGATCACTTGAGGTCAGGAGTTCAAGACCAGCCTGAGCAAGAGTGAGACCCATCTCTACAAAAAATAGAAAAATTAGCCAGGCATCACGGCATGTGCCTGTAGTCCCAGCTACTCAGGAGGCTGAGATAGGAGGATCGCTTGAGCCCAGGAGTTTGAGGTTGCAGTGAGCTAAGCTGATACCACTGCACTCTGGCCCAGGAGACAGAACAAGACCTGTATCAAAAAAAAAAAAAACAAGCACTGAGAACCCTGTTAAATGCTCATAGCACTAACCTCTCTGCCTTTGGTACGTCAAACTGCTGGCAATGAAAGACATTAGCCCTGCCCTCAAGGAGCTTACTGTATATAAGGCAAGACAGGTGTCTGGATTATCAACGAATATTCTGGTGGTGCTCTGTCTGATGGAGCTGGGAGAACAGGTCTCTGAGAGGTCAGAAGAAGGGATGATTGAGCTGAACTTGAAGGAAAACCAGGCATTCGCAAGACCCAGAGTGGAGAGGGGTCCTCCAGGCGGGGGAAGCAGTGTGTGCAAAGGGGCGGGGCATGCAGGCGTGTAGTCAGCAAAGGCAGCTGTCCTGCAGGCTGCAGTCTCCTCCAGGTGCCAGGCTAAGACACAGGCCCCAGCCTGTGGCCTGGGCAGTTTTTTGGATTTTAAGTTTTCAGTGAATTGCTCTATCAGTCTCAATGTCCTAAGCTGCAGGAGAAAACCCAATTCCAAAGAGCTTACATGATAAGGGGACTGATTAGCTCACAATGCACGAAGTCCAAGGGTCCAGCTGTTGTAAAAGTGGTTCCTTCAGCAACTCAGCATCATTGGTGACCAGATGTCTTCCATCTCTATGCCCCACCAGCCTCATTGGCACAGCTGGGCTGCAGCGTCTCCTAAAGGGCTAGGAGTAGACTTCCCTTCAGGTCTCCTCGTCCAGACCTCGGGTTAGACATGCCGCCCCCATCTCCTGCCCCCAGTGGTTGAGGAGGGGCCAAGTTCCCATCCTGGCTGGGAGGAGGGGCCGCCCTCCCCCAGGTGTATGGTGGGGGCCACTGGAACAGAATCAGGGTTTTGTTAGCAAGGAGGACTTGGGGGCATGGCTGTTGAGGACATACCAGCAGTGTGTGTTAATAGTTGCCCCATTTAAAAATTGGGAAATGACATGTTCAAATCAGGATTGTCTAGCTTCTCTTGAGGAATTGGAAGGTCAGGCAGCCTGAGTCCCACTTTTCTTGCTGGGCTGAGTAGTAAAAGGTAGCGCCTCTACCCAAGTAGGGACACACACAGCTGTCCCCTAGCCTCCAATCTCAGGGCCCAGCAAGCTGGCCCCGTCATCATGCCTGTTCTGGCAGGGGGATGGCTTCTAGGCAGCTCCCGCTTTTAGCTGCATGTGTTACAACCAGATGTGAGCTGTGCTGGGACCACTGGCTCACACCTGCAACCTTGTCCCAAGCTGCTGTCACCTCTCATAGAGACTACGCGCCAACAGCATTGCAGCCCTCGGGTTTTAGCTGCATCTGAGTCCTATATCCATTCCAAGTTCAGAGTCAGCTCTGGAAGGAGGACAGCAGGGTGGAGGTGTGCATTTCCAGTGGCTGCGGGACATGCTGGACCAGCAGCTGTCCCTGCGTGTGTGTAGGAACGGACCACGCTGCCTTCCTGGGAGAGCCAGAGTGCATGAGGGTCGCTGCCTGCTGGCGGTGTTCCCCCTCCGCTAACGCCCCTCTCCCCAACCATGTGCATATCCAGGTCTTGTCCCCTCAGAAGAATGGTAACTTGAAAACCGGCAGAAGCAAGACCCTGGCCCCAGCACCCCCAGACAAGAAGGCAGCGGGGTCCTCGGAGAGCAGCGACGAAGAGCTGCCAGCGAGCCAGGTAGGCCTTGCCTTCCCTCCGAACACGCCACGGGCTCGGAGCTGGGCCACAGGCTTCTGTGGGGGAGGGTGGATCTTTCCCATGTCTCTCCATATTTAAACAGCACTTTGTAGTTTCTAGAGCTCTTTCCTCTGTTGTGACAGTCATCTGAACAGTGACCCTGTGAGGCAGGCGGCAGAGCACATTTGAACACACAGGCTTCAGAGCCAGGCAGTGTCGGGGCGAAGCCCAGCTCTGCCACCCACCAGCTCCGTGGTCCTGGGCAAATGCCTCCCCCCTCTGAGGCTCAGTGTTCCAGCTGTAAAGCAGGGACAGTGGTGCCACTTTCCTCCCTCTGTGCCCCTGTGCCAGCACTTGGCACAGTCCCTGCCTGTAAGGAGTGCCTGTTACTGGCAGGAGGACAGGTGGTGTCGCCCCGTTTGACAGGTCAGGGATCAAGGCCCTGAGGGTTCCCATGATTCATAGGAGGCTGAGGAAGGTGCAGACGCTGGCCCCTGGCTCCCTATATATCTCCATTTCCTTTTTGGGACTGGCGGCCTTCTCCACAGGGCTTGTCAGAATCCCATGACCCGCAAACCCTGCCTGAGATCATGACTTGGGCAGCTGTGGCACACCTGCACACGCTCTGCGGCACCCAGAGCGCAAAGCCCATGGGCCTGCCCAGCTACATCCCCAGGGATGAGACCAAGCCCACCTTATCTCCCCATCTTGCGCCAGAGGCCCAAGTCAGCCATGCTGGAGTGGTCCAAGCTTCCGCGTGAACCCAGGCCCTTCTATCAGACAGCACTGCCCTTTGTCCTCCAGCCCCAAGATCCAGAAGCTTCTGCCAGGCCCTCAGAGCACTGGTTCCCCTCCCAGGGCCTAACCAGAGATGCCGAAGTCTTACAACCCCTAGGCCAATGGAGTCTTTTTTATAACCATCTCCCTTAAATGTCCATACCATATTCTTTTTTTTTTTCCCCCAGAGAGATGGGATCTTGTTCTGTCACCCAGAGTGGAGTGCAGTGACATGATCACAGCTCACTGCAACCTCAAACTCTTGGGCTCAAGTGATCCTCCTGCCTTAGCCTCCTAAATAGCTGGGACTATAGACGCACATCACCATGCCTGGCTAATTGTTTAATTTTTTTGTAGAGACAAGGTCTTACTGTGTTGCCCAGGCTGGTCTCAAACTCCTGGCCTTAAGTGATCCTCCCACCTTTGCCTCCCAAAGTGCTAGGATTACAGGTGTGAGCCACCACGCTCAGCCACATACCGTGTTCTTAGCGATCTGTCAGTAAGATCGGATGCTGCTGGCACACCAGTGCTCCAGTGGGGTGCTCACTGCCTTGTCTTCTCAATAGCACAGGTTACAAAAATAATGGTGGACAATGACAACTAACATCATTAGTTACTTCCTCTGTGCCAGGCACTGTGTTAAGCCCTATATTTGCTTTCTGTTTAATCCCCACAACCACCCTGTGAGGGAACGTCCTTTTTTTATTCCCATTTTAAGGGGGAGGGAATGAGGCTCAGAGAAGTCAAGTGACCTGCCCCGGTGTCACATGGCTGATAACAAGTGGACAGACCTGGTGTTTGATCCCAGGCCTTCTATGCTCTGACCTGCTACCTGGTGCTGCCCCACCACTCCCCTTTGCAGGGCCAGGGCAGTGCCCTCTGGTTCTCTGCACCTTTGTGAGGCCGCCTCCCTTTCTGGGGTTCTAAACAGCTAGGAGAGAGGGGGCTGCTTTGCTTCTCTCTGCGGGGGAGGACTAACATAATTAAAATGAACATCATGCTTAAACTGAACCATTTAATTGGTACATTAGTCCTGAAGATTCTGGAGTCCCTATTTAAGAAACAGAAGGAGAAAAAATCAGCAGTTTGTACATTCCCCCAGGAGGATTCAGGGAAGACGGGCATAGCCCGGGGAAGCTGCAGCCTCCGCCTAACTGGGGGGTTTTTAGCTCCTTAAACCCCAGCTCACTAATTATGATCATTATCATTATTATGCATTTATTGAGCACTTCTCTATTGACAAGTTTCACTCTGTTTTTATTATTAGCCCATCAGTGGGGGAAAGGGATGGATGCCAGGGTGGTGGGCAGAGCCCCAGGCTGGGAGGCAGAGAGGAGGCTGGCTTCGTGCCTAGGCCCCCACTGTGCTGCAGCCCTGTCGTGCAGAGCATTAACCTCAGGCCAGGCTTGTGCTGCGGCCTCAGGTGGCTACCAAACTGAAAAGAAAATGATCCGTATGCAAAGTAATGCATATGTTAAATAGCTTAATTTAGCTATTCCACAATGTATATGAACATCAAGACATCTTGTATACCGTAAATATATATAATTTTGACCTGTCAATTAAAATTAATTTTTTAAGTGCCACTTCTTCCATTACTTTGTCAAAAAAGAAAAAGGCATAGGCCATACCCCCAAAGTTTTAGGTTGAATCAAAGAGAAAAAGGAAACTCGTAAGAAGCTAAATTAGGGTGTTAAACCAGGGCCTGGCTTAAGGTCCTGGAAGGAGCTCCTGTCTCGTGCCTGGAGAACTAACTTCCAGTCCTGGCTCTGGCACCAGTCTGCTGGTCACCCTGGGTAAGGCTGCTTGCCTTCTCTGAGCCTCAACCTTCTCAAGTCCTAGAGTCAGACTCCCTGGGGGCTTTTGAATCTTGAGGCTCCAGACCACATCCCCAAGGAGTGAAATTTCTCAGTCCCCTGAGGTGCAAACAGGACCTGTTAACCAACCCCCAGGCAGTCCTGAGAGGGGCTCTTGGAGGAGTGGTGTCTTTGTGGCTATGTCCCTTGCCGGGGTCAGCAAATGGGGCCACTGGGCCTCTACCCCGTCTCTGTCCCAGACTTGCTGGAATAGGGGCATAGTTATGATGAGCCCGGCTTTGACAGGGGACAGTGAGCACTGTCCAGAAAGCCCCTGGGTTTGGTCCTGCAAGCAGAGGGTCCGGATTCCCTCTGGATCCTCACAGCTCAGCACCTACAGGGAGTGATGGCGTCACTGCTTCACTTCCAACAAGTATTTTCCGATCCCAGAATTAGACCCCTGTGTGTGCTGTGCTTGGCAGTTCCCAGAGTGCGTCAGAACCCTTCCAGTGAGTGAGCGCAGGCTGGGATTGCTAATAGCGCTTTCATCGGGTGGGAAATAGGCTCAGGAAGCTCAGGGGCTTGACCACACAGTGAAGGCCGGCAGAGGTGGGATCAGAAGTGAGTCTTCCCCCACAGCCTGGGGCAGCACAGCCTGCCTTTTTGAACTTGCAGACTTTGTCCTTGCACTTCTACCACTGCAGTGCTGGGCTGTGGTCCCTGTGCGCCCCGCCCCTGCCTCGGCAGCCAGGCCCCCTGCGCCACCTCCCTCCCACAGCCCAGAGGCCGGGCGGGGTGGCGTGGGCAGGTGGAGCTGGGGGGAGGCTTTCACTGCTGAGCTGCTTTTAACATCCCGAGACGCTATTGTTTGCCTCAGTGGGTTCAGTGCCTCTCTTCGTCCCCGACAATCTGTTCCTCTGTCTTCTCACATATATATAGATCCCCCCTCCCTCGACTGTAAGCCTTCTCCCACTTTCCATCCTTCTCTTTTTTATAACGTGGGAAGGAAGGCTCTGGAAGTGGCAGATCAGAGCAGCCGCGGGGGAGGCTGTTTGGCAGGGGTAGGAAAGGCCTAAGCCCAGCAGAGCTTTCCCCCCAGGCGGCCACCTTTCTCCTTTACTTTTCACTTTGCCCCTCTCTCCACAGCACCCTGGAGGACAGGGTGTGCTAAGTCAGCCTCAGGAGCTGGGCAGGGTGGTGCAGCAGTCAGACGCTGGGTCCTAGACCTGCCCCCACCCCTCCCTTGGCCTTAGGCAGCCCCTCTTTCTCCTGCCCCTCTCCTCCCCACTGGCTAGAGGGAGCAGCACTCAAAGCGGATCTGACATCTGGGGGGTGGAAGGTAGACTTACCCAGCTCCATGGCTCCCGGTTACACACGCTCGTTAGCCGGGGCTTTTCAGAAGGAAACTGACCTGGAGTCCCCCCAGCATACAGTGGGCATGTTCGGGGGAGCTGCCATTCCCAACCAGACTGGCCTGTAGGGTACCAAGGAGCTGCTGCTGCTGCTTTCTCTCTTTTTCCTTTACCGTTTTATTGGAAAATTTAAAGCATGCCCAAAGATAGAATGATTTAAAGAACCCCCGCGTACCATCCCCAGCCGCAACAGTTACAAACTCCTGAGCAGGCTGGTTTCACGCAAACCCTCCACTCGATTTGCCAACGCCCCTGGCTTACTTCGAATCCAGTCTCAGGCGTGTCAGCTCATCCACCAGGATTGCAGCGTGCAGGTCTAAATGATAGGGACTTTTCTTTAAAGCACAACCGTAATACAATATCCCACCTGAGAAACAACTACCCAGTCAGTGTCCCCAGTTCCTCAATTGTCTCACGAAGGGTATTTTTTTTATATTTGGTGTGTTCAAGTAAGAGTCCAGTTAAAGGCCACATACTACATTGAGTTATGAGTCCCTTAAGTCTTAACCGTTGGTTCTTTCCTACCCACCAACCCTGTGTTTCCCATGTGCCGTTTCTTTGCTGAAGAAACTGGGTCGGTGTGGCTGGGGAGATGCCTCCTGGGCCACATCTCAGGAGGGCTGTGTCAATGTCTGGGGTGGGGGCAACTAGAATGGAAACACCTCCCTGGGCAAATCGTGTATTGTGGCCAAGCAGCCTAGGGAAACCCTGCTTAGAGCCCCCCACCCAGTAGGTGGATGTCCCTGAAGTCAGCTAGAGTAAAGAAGGTGAAATTGGATGATCTGGCCCTGGCTCTGCTTCCAGTAGACTGTGTCCTTGGGTGGCCCCCTTCCTCTCTGTGGGCTTGCAGTTTGCCCACCTGTGCAGTGGTGCTGATGCTGCTGACCATGGGGGTTCCCTGTGAGGGTCAGGTGGGGTGCTGGGTCTTAGCAGGTGCATGGGCTGAAGTGCCCTGGGCAGCTGGGACGGCCTCTGACTGTGCCCAACTGCCCCCAAGCTCTGTGGGCCCCTTGCCTTATAAAACCCTCCCCTACCCCAACTTCCCCTTCCCCTGGCCAAGCCTTTAATCACTGGGGGGGTATGTTTTGTTTTTGTTTTTCAAGGTGATTAAAACCCCTCTGATTTTTGTCGACCCTAATCGTAGTCCAGCTGGCCCAGCTGCTACCCCCGCGCAAGCCCAGGCTGCGAGCACCCCGAGGAAGGCCCGGGCCTCGGAGAGCACAGCCAAGAGTTCCTCCTCCGAGAGCGAGGATGAGGACATGATCCCCGCTACACAGTGCTTGACTCCTGGTGAGCATGGCCCCTACACAGCGCTGACTCCTGCCGCACCTGCCAGGCTCGGCTGGCGGGGGGGCTGCCAGCACCGTCCCACATTGAGGCCCAGAAGGGAGAGGACACCGGCCAAGCCGCATAGCAAGGTGTTGGCAAGAAGCTGCAGGGACCAGGTTCCTACATATTCCAAGAAAGCTCTATTACAGCTGACTGAATGTGGAGTAGCTGGGCAGGGTGGTAGTGAGCTTCCCATCCTTGGTGGCATGTAAAGGGGTTAAGTAATCTAAGCAGAGACATTGCAGAGAGGAATTTCATCTATCAGTGGGAGATAGGACCAGATCTGTGGTTTCTTTGAATTCTGAGAATCTGTGATTCTACCAGTGATAGCAGGAAAATGGTTAATAGTACTATTATTGTTATTATAATACTTTTAAGAGGAAATCATACCTGATTTTGGTAGGAGAATTTAAAAATACAGGTTACTGCAAAAGAAAAAATACCACCCGTAATCCCACTGCCCCAAATAATTACGGTTAACATTGGACAAGTGGTAACTTTATAAAAACCTGTGCGTGTATATTTAAAGTGAGAATATCCTGTATATAATGCTCAGTAACCTTTACTAGATATATTGTGATACTGGGGCTTTTTCTGCTGGCTACAAAGAAGTCCTTTGCATGAGCATACTACAGTTTATTTAGCCAGTGCCATGTTGGAGGAAGCAGAGGGTTTTGTTTCTGGGAGTTTTCTGGCTGTTATAAATTGTTGCAGTGAACACGGGAGCAACAGCCTCTGCAGATAAACAGGGGACTCGGGAGAGACTGTTTTAACTGCGGGGAGAGTCGTTTGGCACAGCGCTCCAGCCCGCTGCTCAGGAGTAGCAGCCTGGCCAGCCGAGAAAGGGGAAGAGAAAGCCTGGGGTCTCTGCCACAGCAGCCACTTGAGCTCCCCGGGCCTTGTCAAATGGTGACATCTCCTACCGAGGAGGCTTGGGGAGGGGAACAAATAAGCTTCTACCTCTGTAGCCCTGAGCACAATGCCAGGTCCCCAGGAAGGGCTGGCAAATCAGGTTTTTGTCACTGCTAAGGTGGCTGTGGGGCTTCTGTGCCCTGACGTGCCCCCATCCCACTCCATTGCAGCCATTAGAGCCAACGTGACTGTGTCTGCCACTCACCCAAGGACAACGCCCAAAGCCAGCGCTGCTGGGGCCACCAACAGCAAGGAGTCCAGCCGGGTATCAGATGGCAAGAAACAGGAGGGACCAGCCACTCAGGTACCACCTGCTGGGTGAGGGAGGGCGCCACTCCTACCACTGTCACCCCCACGGCCAGAGGCTCTCCTGGCCTTCTGGCTGCAGCCCCGGTGCTGGCTTCCCGAATCACCTTGGAGTTGTCAGGAAGAGCAATCTGGGAATACAACCTCTCAGTGGAGCCAGCCCTTGCACCTGAGTCCCTCATCAGATTTTCCAGCATGGTTGGGCTTTTCGATTTTTTTTTTCCTGCTGGTTTTGAAATGCCATGAACAAAAGTTGCCGTTTTTAGCATTTATAATAGCGACTTTAACATTCTTCTCGGCCTTCACCATTTTCAGTGCATTTTTATTTGTTCCATGCCTAGATCTAAAAGCTGGGCAGGGTAGGGTTAATGGCCCATTGTTCAGACCATAAAACTGAGCCACCCCCCACCCAGAGGGCTGTGGCTTGAGCAGGATTGGGCAAGGCCAGCACCCAGGTCTTCTGACTCCCAGGTCCTTGCTCTCTGCGTCGTATAAGTTTGGTTTCCTATCCCACTGAGAGGCAGAAGCCCACTGTGCACCCCACCCCCTTTTTCTGAGGGGGTGGGAGCGAGCTGGGGTAGGCTGAGGGGGTGGACGTCCCCTGCTCAGAGGGGTGGTGTGCCACCCACTCCAGGGCTCACCACACATTCCAGCCAAGAAGAGCGTGTGGGAGCGTGAGTGCTGGGTGGGTGGCTGGGCTGTGGCTGTCCATTAGGCCCTTCAGCCAGCAGGTGGTGCTGAGCATCTGTCCATGCCAGGCACTGGGGAACCAGCAGGAACAAGACAGGGAGGGCCCCTGCCTGCCCTCGTGGAGTTCCCAGGCCAGCAGGGAGGCAGCCATTACACAAGGGAACCAAAATATAAGTAAGGTACTCACCAGCTGGTAGGGGCTTTGAAGGAAGCAGTGTAAACCAGAGAATAACGGGGTGACCCGCTTTAGAAAGATGGGCAGGAAGGCCTCCAGAGGCGGTGACAGTGAAGCTGCAGTCACAGGATGAGCCAGGTACCCTCCAGGCAGGGAAGCAACAGGTGCCAGGGCCCTCTGGGGACATACTTGGGGGACGGCTGGCTGGAGCAGCAAGGAGGAGGGCACAGGCCATGGTGAAGGCCGCGCCACATCTGAAGGAAAGTGGGAGGTCCGGAGGCTCTCAGCAAGGGGTCACGCCCGGTTTCTTTCTTAAGTCCTGGCTGCTGGTGGGTATAAGAAGTAGGAGTGGCACCAGGGGGACCACCAGGTTAGAGATTTGGCCCTAGTGAAGACACAGATTGAGTGGTGTGGCCCCCACTGGGGCCTGAGCTGCTTCCCTCCCCTGGGTCTTTGTGCTCTTTGAGAACAATGATTTGCTCATAACCTGAAGCTTGCCACCCATTTTGTTGCCCAGATGGGGACATTGCCCTTTGACTGCCCCTCAGTCCCGTATCCCAGCCTCATGGCTCCTGCTAGCCAGACAGGACCTAACCAGGGTGTGGCACAAATGGCATGCCAAGGACCCTTGAGCCTCAAGGCTGCCTCTTGCTGCCCACAGGCGACAAAGAGGAACCCAGCTTCCCTCCCACTGACCCAGGTCCTTGTCCAGGAAGCCAGTGAGGCCCAGCCTCCTGTTGGCAGGACCCAGTCTTCAAAATGGGGTGCGCTTGGAGGCCCGGGGAAGCAGGCCCACCCAGCTCTGCTCCCGGAGGCCAGGCTGGCCCAATCTTTTGGCCCTGCCACAGAGTATGGAAGGGAGGGCACAGGCATGGCCCTGAACCCTGGCACTAGCACCTGCCTGCCTGTGGACCTTAGCACTTGGTTTACCTGCCCAGGCCTCAGCGGCCTGGTCCATGTGACAGAATTTACAGTACGCTCTTGGAGAGTTGTGTGAGAAGGAGCAAATGTGCGACTCACCTAACACGGTGCTTAGCCCTGTTGGCGTGTTCGGGAAGGACCAGATCTTTCTTACCCTAATTTTTCCATTCTTTCTCCTTTCACCAAATTAGGTTGACAGTGCTATAGGAACATTCCCTGTAACGGGTTCCCAGAGCACCCCTGTCCAAACCGGAGTGACCAGCAATCCCAGAAAACCCAAGCTTTCTGACAGCCAGCAGGCCACAACCACTCCCTTGGGCCACCCCAAGGCCAAAGCCCCTGGGAGCTCAGATGACAGCGAGGAGAGCAGCGGCAGCTCTTTAGGGATGGAGGAGGATGCTAAAGGGCCCCAGATGGCCAAGTCGGCCCACCTGCCAGGTGAGAGTGCCGGGAGAGGGATGAGACGCAGCTTGGCGGGGTCCCAGGTTCTGGCCTCAAGCCCTGCATCTCAGCTTGTTCTGCGACCTTACGCAGGTCCTCCTGCACTAGGCCCCAGTTCCCCCCATGAAGCTCCATGAGAAGGTCTGTCCAGATGGTTTCAGAGACCTGGCTTTGCTGTGTGGCCACTCAGCTTTTTGATACCAGGCTCCTTTCACTGATTCCCCAAAGCTTCAGCGTCTTGCCTCCCCTGCAGGGGAGAGCAGGGAAATGTAAGTGGGGCCTCGAGAATTAGAAATGAAGGTTTTGGCATTCAGATGTCTCACCTAGAATGCTGTGAACAGCACTGAATTTTGTGAGAAGCAATAGGAAGCCTTGAGCAGGAGGGTGAGGAACCCACAGAGACCAGGGCATCATGGAGCCCTCCTGAAGGGTCTGCCCTGCCTGGCTAGCAGGGGCCACCCAAGACCGCCAACAGGATACCTGTGCTTCTCCAGTAGGTCCAGCCACCTCCAGCAGGGAGACCTTGGTGGAGGAAACCACAGAGTCCAGCGAGGATGAGGTGGTAGCGCCTTCCCAGGTAACTACAAGGGAGAAGACTGGCAGCCTCAAGTCTTGGGGCTGGAGCACCAGGCCTGGCTGCCATCCACCTGGTCCCTCGGGTCAGGGAGCTGGGCCCTCCGTCTTCCCAGGGGCCTGGGGCAAGGTCATATCTGCAGGGGACCAGGTGTGGCCCAGCCAGCAGACTGCAGCCAGGCTGTTTCCTCCTCCAGGGCTCTATTCAGCATAGAGCCATGAGTACTTAACCGTCTGAGTACTTAACCGTCTGAGTACTTAACCCTCGGGCTTGGTGGAAAGGATTGACTTTGATTCTAGGTGATTCCCGACAAAAACATTCTTTAACAGATTTCTTGTAAGGTATATATGGCAAGCACTAGTGATTTTCTGTTTGCATTAATAATGAGAAATTTTCTTTTTAAATGTGTCTATCTAAAAAGTGTATTAATTCAAATAGTTCAGGAAGTCCCCCTCTGGGCCGTAGTGCCCACCCACTCTGCACTGACTGGGCGGGACCCAGCCTAGTCCCGGGGCTGGTTTTCTGGCTGCAGACTGTGCCTGGGGGGCTGGGTCGGGTGGGGTTGCGGCCTCTTTCACACTGGGTTTCTTCAGTCTCTCCTCTCAGGTTATGTGACCCCTGGACTAACCTCAGCCAATTCCCAGGCCTCAAAGGCCACTCGCAAGCCGATCTCCAACCCCTCAGTTTCCTCTACTCCGGCCATCAAAGATGACCCAGATGGCAAGCAGCAGGCAGAGCCCCAACAGTCAGCAGGCATCACATCCCTTAAAACAGGTGAGTTGAGGGCTGCAGGAGGAACAGAGCTGGACACGGAGGGACAAGGCTGTGGGTCCCTGCTTCCCTCCCCCAGCAACAGTCCCACCAACATGGTCCTGTCTGGCTGGAGACAGTGAGACCAGTGGCCATGCACTGGGCCTGGAGGTGTTCATCAAAGTGTACGTGGGGCCCCATGCCCAGGTGTCTGGCTGCCATGGTCTGGGACAGCCTGGAGGTTGGCATTTATCTAGCCCTGGGGGTGCTAATGCACCGGTAGGATAACCCCTGCCTTAGCGGAAGCGGCGCCTTGGCTTTTGCAGTAGGCCCTGGCACTCTCTGGCCATCCTTGTCAACTTTTCTTCCCAGCAAATGGGCTCACGGTGTGGGGTGTGGGGACTTGGAGGGCAGCAGACAAAAGGCTGAGAGTCGTGTTTGGAGGAATCTCCAGCACATGGAAGAGATGCCAGCAATGGACTGGCCCCAGGGCTGTTCTGACTCGCTGTAAAGCCTTAGACAAGCCCCTGGCCACTCTGGGCCCTCTGTATCTTAACCAGACACAGCAGAGGTTGATGCATCCAGTCTATATCAAGGCATGGCATGCATAGAAATTAGTCACATGCTATTTGGAGGGCAGACTGGAGTACTCAAGTCACCCAGCCTGGGGCATCCACCGTCCCTGACTCTGGCAGAGCTAAGAAGCAAGTGTCTCAATTGGGTACATCTGGGACAGCTCTAGAGGTTCCCTAGCCTTGGTGTCCAGGGGTGTTTGCAGACAAGAAGCAGAGAAGTGGGCTCTGGGGAAAGAGATTGCCAGGGCCAACTGTGCCCTCCCCAGGCCCTCTCCAGACAGCTCCTGCCCTCATCAGGAATCACCAAAGGACAGAACTGGGCCTCCATCCTGGGGCCCTCTGCTCAGCCTGCCCTGTGCACTTCCCCTGGCCCACCACGGCTCTGGAGCCAGAAGCTGTTGGAGACCCTACACAGTGCTGAGGGGCACTGTCAGGCTCACTGCACGTTGCGGGGAGCAGCCCCCAGCCTTGTGTGACACGGTGTGCCCACCTGGACCCTTCTTTGAGACGAACACCTCCAGGGCCAAAACACTGGGCCACCTTTCAAAGCCTACTGTGCAGGAGCTTTGTGCCCATGAGGCCCAGAATGGGGCAGACACCTGCCTGGGTCACCTGGGAAGTTAAGGTGGAGATGGGACCCAGTCCTGGGCTTTCGGCTGCAGCCTGCCCTGTGCTGGGTCAGAAGAAGAGCCGTTGCTCACTTTCTTCCCCAGCGCTCTCTCTGTGAGAGGCGGGTGCGACAAGGAGACATTTTAGAGGGGGCTGTGGAAGGTTTTTTTTACACATGTAGTCAGCACACAATTATCAAAGGCAAGCAGAGGCGTGGAAAATTCTAAACAAAGGCTGCACCAGAAGTCGCTCTGGCAGGCAGTAAACCTGCTTAGTCAGCCGCCTTGTGCATATGCACTGCTCCCAGCGCCCCCCAGCCCGCCCAGACCCCTGACCGGGAAGGGCCGTGTATGACTGGGCATGAGTTGAGTGTCTGCGTGGCCTTCATTTTATTATAAACTTACAGCGTATAGTAGGGGCCCTCGCTATTCGTCTAACCGCTCAGTTTGCAGACAGGGAGACTGAGACCCAGGGAGGAGCTGGGTCCTGGCCAGAATCATATAGCAAGTTGGTAGAACCAGGTCCCCTTCCTCCCAGCTCTGGATGCCATCTCCCTGACTTTTCATCTTGTTGACAGATTTCAGGCTCTCATTAACATTCTAGAGTCATTTTCTGTCCCCAACCCTAACTTGAGGGGAGTTTTTGGTGACAAGGAAAAAGCTCTAAGTTAGAAGTGAGATCAGGGTGTGCAGCTGGTAGGAAGGTGTGAGCTTAGGAGACTGGGGCAGAGTGACTGCTGGGTCTTGCTGTCCCCATCTGTGCCACTGCAAGAAAAGGTGGAGCTGCACTCCCTAAGCTCTCACATACCGTAAGATCTGTCCCCCAACTCTCCCAGGTCTGTGACCCCAAGTTCTCTCTCCATAGGCAAAAAAGAGGCCACTTCAGACACGACGTCTCAGAAGCCCCGGAAGCCCAAGAAAGGGGCCGGGAACCTCCAAGCGTCAACGCTGGCGTTGCAGAACGACATCACCCAGCGTCTCCTGGGAGAGGCCTGGCCCCTGAGCGAGGCCCAAGTGCAGGCCTCAGTGGCGAAGGTCCTCGCGGAGTTGCTGGAGCAGGAAAAGAGGAAGGCCACGGATGCCATCAAGGAGAGCGGCAAGAAGGGCCACAAGCGGAAGCTGTCAGGAGACCAGCTGGCTACCAAGGCCCCCAAGAGCAAGAAGAAGAAACAGCTAGCCACTGGGGAAGGCGGGGAGGGCACTGTGTCCCCAGAAAAGGCCTCCGTGACTTCCAAGGGGAAAGCAAAGAAAGACAGAGCAAGTGGTGACGTCAAGGAGAAGAAAGGGAAGGGGTCTTCTGGCTCCCAGGGGGCCAAGGACAAACCAAAAGGGGAGCTTCCGAAGGGGGTGGCGAAGGTGGAGGATGGCGATCAAAGCGACCCAAAGACCAAGAAAGAGAAGAAGAAATCCGACAAGAGTAAGTGACTTCACTTCCCCAGGCCCATGCCAAGGGCTACCGGGTACCCCACTGGGGCAGGAGGGACCCTCAGCCAGCACCTGGTCTCATTCCTCTCATAGAAGGGAGAGGCTGAAACAGTCGTTTGTCCAGGGCCAGGCCCCGGCTAGCGGCAAAGCCAGAGCTAGATTCCAGAGCCTCTGGGCCAGTGCTGTCAGGGAGCCTCCAGAGCATGGCCTGCTCACTCTCGGCACCCAGTGGTCGCATTTTCAGCTTCAGGCTTCTGGAAGGCCCAGAGAATCGTGTCCTCTTTCCCCACAGGCCAAGTCAGCAGATCTTGGGGGAACCTGCTTCTCCAGCCAGCTCCCTGGGTGCAGAAGGGACCAACCAGGAACCAGAATGCCTGAATCCTCAGCCTGAGCCCCGTCCTCTCTAGACATCAGTTTCCCCTCAGTAGTATTAGTGGCCCCTACTGAGCTCTGTGCCAGACTCTGCACATAGTAGGCCCTCATTTAATGCTCATGCCAGCCCTGTCCAGCAGGTGATATTTCATTCCCATTTTCTAGGTAGAAAGCCGTGGCTTAGAAGTAGAGGCGCTCGGGGTCACAGACGTAGGCAGCACTCGAGCACCGCCCTGGGTGGTGGCTAAGAGGTCAATGGGGCTGTGTAGGTGCCCAGAGAACCAGCTCCTTCTAGAGCAAGAGCTGGGCACCCTTAGAGCAGGACGTGCAGCCCCTTGGTGTTCAGAACTGTGCTGGATTCTCATTTCTGGTAGGGATAGGTAGTGTCCTTTTTAAATAAATGTGCAGGAGTTTTTAGAAGTGAGTTAATTTAAAGAAAAATGGTGCCAGTCCATCCAGGTCAGGCACAGTGGTTCACGCCTGTCATCCCAGCACTTTGGGAGGCTGAGGCAGGAGGCCAAGAGTTTGACACCAGCCTGAGCAACAGAACAAGACTTTGTCTCTTCAAAAACATTTTAAAAATTGGCTGGCTGTGGTGGGGTGCGCCTGTAGTCCCAGCTAATTGGGAGGCTGAGGCAGGAGGATTACTTGAGCCCAGGAGTCCGAGGCTGCAGTGAGCTACGATCAATGCCACTGCACTCTAACCCAGGCGACAGAGTGGGACACTGTCTCAAAAAGAAAAAATAGTACTAGTCCAGATGGTCCATGGATGGGACAGAAGTCATGAGGCTGGCCCCTGAGGGGCAGGCGTGCTGGCCTTGGGATAGTCACCATGGCTGATGGCTCCCCATGGTGTGGGCCGAGCTGGCATCAACAGGAGTGAGGTGTAGGGTCCCTAGAGCTCTGCCCTGGGTGCCTCCTGACGTTGATGCCAACACTTACGACCACCATCTGTTGCTCAGGAAGTTTTCTTTCTTCCTTCAGAAAAAAAAGACAAAGAAAAAAAGGAAAAGAAGAAGAAAGCAAAAAAGACCTCAACCAAAGACCCTGAATTACCATTCCAGAAGAAAAAGAAGAAAAAGGTAGAGTGAGTTCCTGGGGCGGGGTGGTCTCAGGCCAGAAAAGGAACCCAAACCGAATCCCCAGGGTAAATGTTAGCTCTTGCCACATGCCAGACCCAGGCTCTGCTCACTTTCCATGCTGCAGGTCAGGTGGGGGACCTCATGGGTTGTGACACACTAGGAAAGAGGCCGGGAGGGCATGTCCCCTCCTCTGAGCATGGGGAAGCCATGGAAGTGTCTTGTCTGTGAGGTAGAAGGATGTGGGGACAGGGAGACCAGTAGGCTCTTGCCGGTTTCCAGGTGAGAGGAAACGCTACCTGGGCTGTGTGTGTCCCGGCTGGCAGGGTTCCCCTCTGAAGAGACACTTGCGCATGTCTACGTCATGGGTGTCAAAGCCTGATGCCCTGAACAGGGGCTGCCTTTACAGCCCGGGGCCTGGCACCATAGACACAGCTGAAGTTGTCACCGTGGCCGGCAAGGCTGCATCTGTGTTCAAAGCTGAACGTCTCTTGCTGCAGAGCCCTGGGCTCCTTCCTGGAGGCCACCTGAGGCACTGCCCTTGCCCTCTGGGGTCTCTGCAGACCCAGCGCCTATTCCGGGGGAGCCCCCAGTACTCAGGAGGTAGGGACAGCAGTGGGTGGGGAGAAGCTGCAGGTCTGAGAGCCTCTCCCACTTCTCTCCTCACAGAAGAAGACAGCAGAGCCGACCGAGTGAGGGCCACAGGCGCCAGGCGCAGGTACGCTTCCTCACCATCCCTGGGCATTCAGGGCGGGAGGGCAGCTCCGGCCCCCACTGTGGTCCCAGAGAGCCAGGCGGACCTCGTAGGTGGGAAAGGGGTTCCATTCCTGGGGGCCAGTGGGATGATGCCTGGAGCTGGCACTGCAGCAGCAGAAGGATGCAGAACTGTAAGGGCAGCAGTTGATGCCAAGTATTTCCTGAGTGAAAGCGCTGTGCTTGCCTTAGGGGGTGGTTTCTTCCCTTATGATCCTGTAACTTGGGGGCATTTCCTCTCGGGAAGGAGGGTGGTTCGCTCGGGGTGAGCCGTCATTATGATCTCTGCTTCCCTGTGGAGGAAAGGCCCCGCCAGGTGGTGGTGACAGAGTTAACTGCTCCACTGGCTGTGCTGCCCCATGTCACCCCGCCTCCTGTAAATGGGGGTTCACACAGGACCTGCCTCCCAGGTTGGTGGTGAGGCTTACGCGGCGCTAAACACTGAAGCACTCGGCCCAATTCCCAGGGCATGCTAAGTGCTAAAAATGGCCACTGTGGTTAGTTAATGTCCCTACCCTGCATTGGAGATGCCAGGTTTTATTGTCCTTGATGGAGAAAAAGGTCAAAAAATCTCACATCTGAATGTGTTTCCCTCCCCCAGGGATCTCTTAGCCGAGTGGTGACCGTCCCACGCCTCTGACCTCGGCCTACCTCTGCCCGCCATGGGTTGGAACTGAATTTTTAACTTCCCCTCCCTGAGAAGAAGACGGCCAGCTGCAGGGTCCCCGTGCTGGCCAAGCCAGTGAGCCTGCAGGGAGGCTGGTCCCAGAAGAAAGTGGGCCCAGCCCCCATGACCTTGGCCCCGCCTGCCCCCAACACGGGGCGCTTCGTATAGATGTGTACAGTATATATATTTTTTTAAATGACCCGCCTCTCCCCTGGCAAACCCCACATGCCCAAGGCCTCGGGACTTTCCACCTGAGGAAGTCTCTGCAGACCCAGCTAGGCCCAACCTGCAGCTCGTCTCCTGCCATGTGGTCTCTGGCTCATCCCGAGGCTTTGTCCTCCTTTTGTCAGTTTTCTCGGTTGTGTTGGTTTTTTGTTTTTTTTTAAACTCAGAAAATAAAAGGCTTGAGGGAGAGGCGGAAGTTCCAGTGCATCTGGGGCAGACGCGTTGCAGTTGGCTTACTCTTGGAATGCGCAGTCTGGCCAACACCCAGGATTCCTTCTTGACTGCGCATCGAGGCTCTGGAATACTCTGGCGGGTGGGACAGGCAGTTTGCCAGAAAAAGACTGGGGTAGCACCCCGGATACTGCGTTGGTGGGGAAGGCGCCCTGGAAGAGGTGGCATCCAAGCTAAAGGAGAGCTGAAGGAGGGTCATGGTTGGCTTCCCGAATCCAGAGTAGGTCATGCAAACACCCAGAGGCAAAAAATGAAAGGGGACATCAGGAGCCACCCCGGGGGCCGGCTTTCGAGGCGCGTGGGGGAGGATAGCTGTGGCAGGCACGGCAACAGCAGGAGAACCAGTGAGGAGTGAGATGCCCTCGGATCCAGGTAGCGATGGTTCTATGGTGGTGAGGGCAAGAGGTGGATGGACTGGAAAGACACGTTGGGTGATGTCCACAGGACTTGGCGGTGGCTGCGGTGTGGATGGAGCTGGGTGGGGGTAGCAAAGGGTGTCTCTTGCTTTTCTGACCTGGGAATGCAGAGGCCCACCTCCCTCTGCCCAGAGCTGTGTGGAGTACCAGACGTCCTGGAGATTTCTCTCCAAAGCACTTAGCTCCTCACTGGAGACAGCCAGGGCAGTGCAGAGAAAGAACGCCGGGCTGCCCACCCCACTGGCTTCCAGCTGCACCCCTGACCCAGGGCCTCAGGCCGGGCCCTCCCCGCCGTAGCCTCTCTGCCCTGCGAGCCTGCTGGGCTAGAACAGAGGCTGCACAGTAGTGTCCTCACTGACCCACAGCAAGTCTTTAAACTTAAAAATGGAGCAATTTCACTGACGTTCTGGATTTCTGGCTCCTCTTGAAAGGGCTGCCCTTGGGAGGGCCTGCGCTTTCTCCCGGCAGCCGGCCCCTCGGGCGGGCATGGGCACCCAGTTCGCACAGTCCCCCACTTCCTGTCCATCCCTGACACGGGGGCCCCACGTCGGTTGCCATCTGTCGTCACACTCACACTGTTCTTAGTATAGAAATGAAATTGGGGACATGGGAAAATGAAAGCTTGACCAAGAGGAGCTTGTGCTTAAAAAACTGTAGGCAAGGGCCTATTTCTTTTTGGAAGTAAAGAGTACGTGTGTGTTACACATGCAGCCAGACAGGTCTGTGTCCAAAGACTACAGCCCCACAGGCATCTCTGGGCTCCTTGGGGTAACGATCCAGGTACCAACAGAAGAGCCAGGAGCCAGAGTGTTCTACTCACTACCTTTTATTCTTAGGTGAGCCATGGCCCTGAGGGTGGTGACAAGCGCGGCTGAGCAGAGGGCACGAGGGTTGGCAGAGAGGAGGGTTGTGGGTGGAGAGGCTGAGCTCTTCTTAGGGAGTGATGATGGGGAGGGGTGGGCAGGACGGCAAATGTGTCCAGCCTGGGGTTGGGGGTAGGGTTGTCCCTTTTCCCTGTGCCTTTCCACCTCGTCCATGGGACCTCAGAGCCCCATGTTGGAGGCTGCTGTGATGTCAGAAATGGGGGTCCACCTAGCTTCCGGTCACCTCGGGCGTCTCTGTTGATAGGTGAGGGTTGGGCAGCAGAGCCCTGCTGCCTCTGTGCTGTTCTGACTTGATTTGTCATGTCCAAGGACCACGGAGAGCCAGGCGCCAGAGTCTCATGGAATGAGGTGCAGGGTGGGAGGGTGGGGGAGGGGCCAGAGTTGGGGGACAGAGGGGAACAAGAAAGCTGTGGCCGTGCAGAGCTGGCTGGGTGCTGGAGACCGCCTCCGCTGTTCTCATGTCACGACTATGGAGAGAGAAGCAGCAAGTCGAGGTTGGGGTCACCGTTCATTGTCCCTGCCCCTTCCCAGCATCCGGGATCTGCAGAGTCTAGGACTGTCCGCCCTCTACTGCCCCTGCTCGAGTACAGATACTGACCATGGATTCACGGACCCGCCCCCAACCCTGTTCCTCGTCTATGAATCGGTCACCCCAGGGATGTCAGAGAATGGCCCAGGGTCACGCTCCCTCTTCTGCCAGCGAGGGAACTGGGCCCACTGGGGATCAGCTGCTGGTGACCAGATCCCCCTCCGCAGGGCCCTTACCTAGGTTCGGCTCCTGCTTGGTCAAGCCCAGCCCAGAAGACAGGTCCTCCATGTCCTGTGGCTCTGCAAAGGAGCGGCAAACCCATCGTTGCCTGCAGTGCCGCCTGCCCCACCCAGGCTGCCTGAGGGCAGTTCTTCCCACACTAGGGCAGCTGCGAGCCTGGGAAGGCGGGCCCGGAACGAAGGGCCCCTGCAGCTGCAGTGAAGAGGTGTGGTTGGGGGAGAGCAAGGCCAAGGCAGGGGGTGATGAAAGGAGACGGGTGGATCTGTGGGACTCCTGGGCACAGGAGGATGGTGCGTGGATGAATGAAGATCGCAGATGAAAGATGGAAGGATAAATGAACAAGCGAGGTCGACAAGCGTGGATGTAAGAGGAGAGACGATAAATGGACGGACGAGGAACGCGCTGGTGAGTGGATGGACAAAGGGCTAGATGCATGCTGACGGCTGCCCGCTGGGAGCTGCCATTCCGAGTGTCCTGGTCCCATGTGCTCCAGGGGGGACCTCTTGCCCTTCAACCTTCCTAATCCTTTCTGGTCCTCCGACTCTCGCTAGCACAGTGGCCACTGCTTACCACTGCAGTTACGGTGCCCACGGCTCCTGGTGTTGGGGACCTCCGTGCCGTTGGGGAAGACGCACCAGCAGTAGCCGATGCTCCCATAGCACTGGAGCGGCATATAGTTGCCGTCCTCGTCGCACTTGGGACGGAATGTGCCTGGGTGGACGGCGGGGATGTGGCTGACCTCTTCCTGGCACTTGGTCGGTACTGAAGCGACAGGCATGATGGAGACAGTGAGTGAGTGGGCTCTGGACTGCAGTCTCAGCAGAGCCAGAGACCCACACACCACTGCTGTGGGCCTAATGCCTTCTGCCCAAGTAGCTTTACTCACTCTACCCATTACACGGATGGGAAAGCTGAGGCCTAGCCCAACAAGGTCCGAGATCAAAGAGGAAGTGAACGGCAATGTGTCTAATTCACTCCAGAATTTGATGATTTCTTCTGATACTCAAAGCCCATGCAAGTTTGGAATTGTACCTATGATTCTGATTTCTAGAGAAAAGCAGTAGACACCTTGGTATGTCTGTTTCCTGTTACTAGGAGTTCCCAAGTAGAAAAGGGGTTACCATTTGTTAAGTAGGGAGAATTCAAGCATCAGCTAGGAGCTGATCAAGATAGCATGTGAGATGCCTTCTCTGAACCGCGTGGAGAAATCGAGGCCCAGGGCAGGGTGGGCCATTGACCTTCCACTTCAGGACACTGAAGCCCAGGGGAAGAGACTTGCCCAGAGTTGCACAGCTAGTTAGAGGCAGCACCAGGATGAAAACAGCGCTTTATGTTAGACCATAGCAGCATGTAAAAAAGGGGGGAGCAAGGGTTACAGTTTAGGGCTTGAAAATCCTGGTGCACATTCTCTGTGAGGTGGGAAATGCCAAGGCCCCCTTGGCTGGCACTCGCTGGCTGTGCAACCTCAGCCCCCTCACTGCAGTTGTGGGGCTAGCGCTGGGAAAGACAATTACAAGATTCCTGCCTGGTGGGTTTCAGGCTGGGTTTGCTCCAGGCCACCTTGTGCGGTGCCATCCTTCACTCACGAGGGGAAGCCTCTACCCAGGGGCCCTTACAGCATGAAAGAGCAGATCACAGACAAGACAGGACCCAGGGTGCAGCAAACCAAGAAGGGACAGGAAGGAGGGAGGGATGTGGGAGTGGAGAGAGGATGGGAGGTTCCCGCGGTGCTTGGGTCAGGGAGTGCCGAAGGCCCAGCCACTGCAGCTGCAGGAGAGCTCTGAGGGAGCTCCCAGAAGCCCTGGCACCCCAAAGCTCCCACTCCCTGTACCTTTTGGCGGGGCCTCAGTGGGCTTTTCCTCCATGGAGTTCTTGCTCATCTCAAACAAGAGCCACTGGTGCATCCAGCTCTCAAAGATCTGATGGGGGCAGAGGTGGGGGGTCAGGCTCAGTAGCCATCACCAAGCCCCTGCCCTGCCTGGCTTTGCCCCTGGGGACAGAAGCAGAGGGCCAGACAGGGGCCCAACACCCAGGGTCCCGCTGCAGCCTGCTTCTCCCTTAGAGACCCAAGGGGGTTGTCCAGGTGCTTCCTCAGCTCCAAGCACTCTTAGCTGCCTGGGGCTTTGTGAGAGCTGATAAGCCCCCTCCAGCTTCCTGAGTGGTTTCCTCAGCCCACCTCTTCCCAGCCCTGCCTGGGACATTGGGAGAAAGAGGGTTCCAGTACAGGGAACCTGCTGACCTTCCAGTCCAGGCTCTCCATGGTGCTCTTCAGGTGTTTCAGGTTCTCTGGGAAGCTCCCCTTCAGCTGCGGGTACACCTTCAGGGGGTCAGCGTTCTGCAGGGCAGCAGGGCAGGAAGCATGGTTAGAAAGAGCTCCCCGGCAGGCAAGGTGAAATGTGTAACCTATATTGCCCTGGCCCTCCATTCTGAGGCGTGGACCCGAGCTGCACCACGCCTGGATCCTGGACCTCAGCCCTGAGGGGAGGGGGAGGGTAAGGGCAGTTCAGCTACACAGCCACGAGACCCCAGGGCAGCGCTACCGGTAACCCTCAGCCTTCTCCCTGCAGACACCTTCTCATCCTTCAGGTCTCACTCCTCCAGGAAGACCGCCTTGGCTGTTCCAAGCTGCATTGGGTCCTCTGCCTCTTTCCTCACAGAGCCCCCTGCCCCTCCCTCATCACCTGGTCACTTGTCTGTCTCCCACACTAGCCCGAGATCCCCATGGCTCAGGAGCTGGGTCCGGTGAGTCCTGAGCCCGGCACAGTCCCTGGCAGAGTAGACATGCAGTAAAAGTTTAGGAAGGAAAAGAGGGGTGTCTTGCTTAAGGCACTTCCAAGCTTTTGGCCTCAGTTTCTCCATCTCAAAAGTGGAGGGAGGCTGGACTGCATATAGCATTCAGGGGCCACCCTTGCATTCCTTCAACAATCCCGAGAGCACGTGCTGGAAGTCTACAGAGAGCCAGGCGTGGGGGAGGCCTTGGAGATCGCCTGGCCGGGGCCCTGTGGCGGCTGCAGGGCCGCCCGGCTGGCTCTCCTGCACTTACCAGGAGCAGGTGCATCACGTGGTCCTCGGTCATGTTGCCGTATTTGGTGGCGTTCTGCTTGGGCTGTGGGAGGAGGGAACAGGGTTACCAGCACTGGCCTCGGATGAGGGCGTGTGGAGTGGGAGCCGGAGGCTGGGGGTCTGGGTAAGAGCCTGCAGTTCCAGGCACTCGATGGGCCCATCTCTGCGGCCTCAGAAGACGAGAGTGTGAGCAAGTCACTTTATCTTCCTGCCTCAGTGTCCTCACTGGTCAACTGGCATAAGCTTTCCTGCCCAGGGCTTTGTCAGCAGCAAACAGTTCTGCGAACACTGATCTGTGTGTGACATCAAGGGCTTTGGGAGTGGGCAGGCACAGTAAGATGCTATGGGAAGTGAGAGGCACTTTGTAAACTGTGGAGGGCTGGGCTTCCTCCCAGGGCAGGCCCCAAGAGGCTGTTCGCCCGTGGGGTACCCTCTCCTTCCTGGGGGGGGCTCTACTCCTCCCCAGCAATCAGGACCCCTCCCCAGCTGGGATCTTCCTAGGGACCCTCCCTGCCCCCACCCCCAGCACCTGTCCTCCATGCAGACTAGATGACATCCCCCGCCCCCCAGCGCCGGCTGTCCTTACCCCCTGGGGCAGGCCTTCCATGGGCAGCGCCTGCATCATCAAGGGGGTGGCCATGCGCATCTTGCTCACAGGCTTGGGAGCTGTGGGGACAGGGAGCACAGCTTGAGTGTGGTCCTGGTGCCCAGGGAGAAGGGTATCCAGGTCCAGGGGCTGAGATCCCAGACCCAGAAGAGGGGCTGGAATTCCAGACTAGAGGCAGAGGACAGTGGGCCCAGCTGGGTACAAGAATGGGGTCTCCGGGGTGAGGGAGAGCGGGGCGGGCGGGGGGAGGCAGGGGATGTCAGGACGAAAGTGGGGCACGCACGCTTGGGAAGCTTCATGCGCAGGCTCTCCAGCTGCAGGTTCTGAGAGGTGACCGTCAGCTTGTCCAGCCGGCCCTGCTGCTGGTACAGGAAGTAGGCGGTGGTGGCCTGGCCTGCCAGGAGCAGTGCCACCAGGACAGAAAAGCCCGTGTACAGGGCTCCGCGGTTGCAATTCCTGGTAGGGGTTGGGGGGAAAGGTTAGAGGACAATCCCCTGACATGGCTGCCCCAGGAGTTGGCTGGGAGTGGAGGAGTGTACCCCCGTCTCCTTCAGCCTCCTAAGGCACCCCTAACAATCACACTGTAAGCTGGCTGTGGAAATGCAGCTCGAAGTCATTCCCTAGTCCCCTGTTCCAACCACTGATGTGTCTAAAGTTCTCCCAAGTAGACACCCTGTAGCTCTGCCCCCGGGCCTAGGTTAAACAGAGACCAGTTCCTTTTCTTTTTTGGGCTTTGTTTTCCCCCTTTTGCATTGGGGGTTGGGGTTGCGGGTTTTCCCCGGTTCCCCTTTGTCATGGGGATCTCCTGAGGATCAGGGCTGCCTTCAAGGGGAAGGAATTTTGTTTTGGGGGTTTTTTTGGTTTTGTTTTTTGAGACAGGGTGTCGCTCTGTCACCAGGGCTAGAGTGCAGTGGTGTCATCTAGCTCACTACAACCTCAAACTCCTCGGTTCAAGCGATCCTCCTGCCTCGGCCTCCCGAGTAGCAGGGACTACAGGTGCACACCACCATGCTTGACTAATTTTTCTATTTTCTGTGGAGATGGGGTCTCGCTCTTGTTCAGGCTGATCTTTAACTGGCCTCAAGCAATCCTCCCGCCTCAGCCTCCCAAAGTGATAGGAATACAGGCATGAGCCACCCTGCCCAGCCTTGTTTCATTTTTTAATTGACCTAAAAAAATTGTATATACTTACTGTTTAAGGGGGAAGGGGGTTTTTACCCCCTAACTAACCCCCCCACCCCCTGTAGTGGAATCAGATTTAACGAGAAAGGGGAAGGAAGTAGGACCAGGACAGCGGAGCGTGTGGCCCACCTGAAAAGGAGAAGTGGGCTCGACATTTTGGGGGTGGGGGAACACTGGACCGTGTCGGGCTGGAGCAGGCCAGGCACCACCCCCTCTGGGGCACATCCTCTGTCCCAGACTCTCCACGTGTCTTTGAGCAAGTCCCTGCCAGTCTCTGCGCCTCTATTTCCTCACCTCTCACATGGGCACCCCTCACCTCCGGGATTCTAGGATTTGGTGGTCTCTTCTTTGAAGCCAGATCTCACTGTGACTACAGAAGTTCTCAAACGGTAATATCCACCCAGGGTGGGGCAGATTTCCACAGGAGTATAGATGCCCACGCCTGTGTGAATTCCTCATGCTCTCTGGGCTTGCCATCTGCACGATGAGGGGTGGCCAGACCCTCAGACCTCAGGGAGCCCTTGTAGTTGCGGGTATCGGATGCAGTTTTGCGGGCACGTGTGAATGTTACAGTATGGAAGATGTAAGGATCCTGCCCCGGGACCCTCAGAGTTCCTGACCTGTTCTCCCTCAACCTACCCCAGCAGAGAGGCTACTAGGACCCTGCTATGGTTAGAATGTGTCCCTTCCAAAATTCAGGTATTGCCATGGTGGTGCTATTGAGAGGTGACGGGCCGTGAGGGTTCCTTCCTCATGAATGGGATCAGGTGCCCTCGTAAGGGGTTTGATGGAGGAGTTGGTCCTCTCTTGCCCTTCCGCCGTCTGCCATGTGCGAACACAGCAGAAAAAGTCCTCACCAGATGCTGGAGCCTTGATCTTGGACTTGCCAGCCTCCAGAACTATGAGAATCAAATTTCTGTTACCCAGTCTGTGGTATTCTGTTCTATATAGCAGCACAAAATGGACTAAGACAGACACAATTGGAAATTGTCGGGATGAGACTGCACCCTGCTTGCTCCAGCAACCTGCGAGGATGGCTTAGGAAACTCCAGGAGACCCTTCTGCCTAGTAACAAATGATGTCACAGGCATGGCTTACTCTCACGGGCTCCCTGCTTGCCCACCCTCTGTGCTTTCTGAGCTAAGGTCCAGCCCAAGGAAGAGTTATTCTGGAAGGAAAAAGCAAAACCCTTCATGGGAAAAGGGAGACTAGACGGGAAGGGAGAACAAATTTTACTTCTTGGCTTTTCCAAGGAATGGGTGGCATGGCCTCTACAGATGGTGAAAAGTCCCCCGTCTTGCGTCTCACCTGGGTTCAAGCTCTCCATGTGAGTAAAACGAGTAAGCACATCTACTCCAAGGCTGTTACGTTAAGTAAGATAGTGAGGGTAGCGCTCTTGGCTCCATACCTAGCACGCTGTTAGCACTCTATAAATAAATAACCCTCAGTACTATTCTCAGGGGAGCTAATAGTTAACTTTAGCATCTGAGTTTCTTCCTCTTTATGAATCTTGAGTGTCTGTCCCCTAGTTTTGGTAGAATGCCAACTGTTGTCACCCCCTCTCTTTATTTCCTCCTTTGCACAGCCTCCTAAAATATTTAAAGAAAAAAAAAAGTAATTGGTCAAAGTCAGGAGCCAACCAGAACTAGCAGGAATCATGACACAGATGTTGCCAGGCAGAAGTGTTCACAAAAGGCTCCCAAACAGGCTCCCGTCTGGAATGGCCTGAGCACGCAGCGCTGGGCCAGTTTTAGAAGCAGTAACTGAACTAAATGAAAACCAGACGAGGATTTGACAAGGGGGCACCCTCTTTGAACACTGAGCCCACTGAGTCTGCAACTCACTGGGTGGTCTGAGCTCAGAGGGGTCCCACCTCCCCTCCCCACAAATCACACCTCTAAGGGGGGCCAGATGGAGGAGTGAGCTCACACTTGGAAATAAGACTAGTCCTGGGTTCAAATTCTGCTCCCAAATCACTAGCTGTAATAATTTGGGTTAAGTCACTTACCGATATGAGCCTCAGTGTCCTCCTCTGTAACAAGAGATAATCAAAGTACCCGACTCATAGGGTGACCGTGAGAATTAAGATTGAGTTTAGCCTTTAGTTACGTGTCTGGCAAATAATCGTAGTAATAACTAACGGCGACTAAGGACTAGTAACAGGTCCACAGTGGATGGGAACTAGTATGGCTATTGTCGTTATTATTACCGAGACTCAGGGAGAGGCAGTGATTTCTCCAAGGTCACACATGACAGTAGCAGAACCTGGACCAGAATCCAGTCCTCACAAGGGAGTCTTCCCTCCTCGCCATGGGATTCCCCAGGGTTTTCACAGGCTGCTGCTCTAAAAGTCTGTATCTGGTTACCTCGTCCCCCAGAACACAGCTCCTCATGACATCTCTGCGTGTCTCTCCCAAACCCCTTTCTGCCTGGCAACAGCTGACGTCACTTATAGCTGTAAGTCCCTGTAGATCGCAAATGACTTTTTGAAGATTGGGGGAGTGGGGGCATTGGGGTAGCTGTATTCTAGCCCCTTTGGGGAGGAAACATATGGGTGAGGCCATTTGGGGCCTGGGAGCAGGGGTCCGGGGTCCTCTGGCCTCTTGCTTTCGGGGAGCAGGGCACAGACAGGAGCACAACCCACTTCAAGCTTTGGCCCCAGAAACTTAGCCAGAGCCCGTCCCTCCTTTCTTGTCCGCCCCCCAATATCTCTCGATTCCTTCTGTGATGGCAGCTGTCCGTCTCCCTCTACAGACAGCTGCTTGGTACAAACACCTGTGCCCACTCACGGTGATGAGGAGGGAGCTCCTCTGTGAAGAACTGCTCCTACTGGTCTCTTGGAGAAACTGTTTCTCCACTGGGGTCTAGGAATTTTCAAAATCCGGTCCAAGGTTTCTAACCTAGGGTTCATGGCTCAGCTTGGGGGACAGTTTCTGTGAAGCTCCTGATATTTTATAAAACTCTAGAGAGAGAACCCAGGACTCACTTCTGACTTTCAGGAGGGGCCTAACGCGAAGAGGGTTCCAAACCCCTGCTCCAAGGGAACCGAAGCCCAGAGTGGGCCGGAGACTTGCTCACGATCACCCAGAAAGTTAGAGTCGAGCCTGAACGCATCCCTTCTGGGCCTCCCCGGCAGTGCTCCTTCCTGCCTCCCGCACACCTGTGTGCAGTCCACGATCCGTGCGCTTTCCTGGTGCTCACACCTACCTCTCTGGGGCCGCAGGGCGCTGGGTCAGCATGGGCGTTTGCTCATGGTTGGAGATAAGGTCGCGCTGGTCTTCCATGGCTCTGGCTCTTCCCCAAGGCTCCTGCTGCTGCTGCTGCTGCTGCTGCTGCTGCTACTGCCGCCGCCTGTGTGTGTGGGACCCTGAGCCCCTGGCTCACCTCTTGAAGTTGGTGCTGAGGAGGAATCTGATTCGTCCACAAGAGGACACTCCGCCCACCTGGCAGATGTGGAAGTGAAAGCCACAAAGCTGGAAATACCCCACTTGGGCAAAGCGGCCTTTCACGGGGCAGGACGAGGAAGGGGCGCTCCCCAGGCAGGCAGATAGGAAAGCCAGCACGGTCCCATTGGCTGCCCAGGGCCCTCATCACTTGTTTCTGGGCAGACCTTTGGATTCATACGGCTCTTTAGATGTTTCAAAAAACAGGCAAATGTCTGCTCCCTAGACAGGAACTCACACTGAAGCAGAGAATGCCTTTGCTTGCCTCCCCTTCTCATCCATAGATGAGGGGGTGCAGGAAGGGGCTGCGTACCCTCTGTGAGCTTGGACAAGTCCTCTTCTCTGGCCTCAGTTGTGTCATCTCAAAAATGGGGAAGAAAGGTTGGAGTCAGGGTTCCCTCTGCTCCCTTCTGACTCTAGCATTGTAAGAACCTAGGAGTCCATGTTTTAAGGCTCTGGTACTAACACCTGCAATCACTTACTAAGCCCTCCTTTGTCCAGCACATTTTACATTTGACGTCCTTTGTTTCCTGTAATGTTTACGGCGACCCTTTGAGGAGTGTTTTGTTTATCATCTGCGTTTACAGATAGGGACACGGAGCCTTCGAGAGGCTATGCGCTTGCCCAGAGTCACACACCCGGGAAGTGGTGGAGCCCATGTTTTTAACCACTCTGCTCATCTGCCTTCTAGTGCTTGAATCGTGTGTTCCAAAGCCAGGAGAACGGAGGCCTCTGCAGGGAGGGCGGAGGAGGGCCTGGGAGAGGTGCCAGGGGAGATTTGACAGTGCTGGCAAGGTTTCATCATCGCCTCATGTCTGTGGCTTGTGTGTTGTGACATAAGAAATACATTTGGTCTCTGCCCCTGATTCCGTAGAATCTTGGGAGTTAGGAGAATGTCATTTTGTAGACTAATCAGATACTGGTGGCCGTAAGTGCCCAGATAGCTTCAGAATGGGGGCCAGCTGCCAGAGGAACCAACCATGTGATGAGAAGGTTGGGACTTTCAGACCCTCACCCTTGACACACCCCACCGCGACTTCCAGGGCAGAGGTGCTGGAGATTGAGTTCAGTCGCCAGTGGCCAATGATTTAATCAATCATGTCTACGTAATGGGACCTGCAGAAAACCCCCAGACAACAGGGTTTAGAGCGCTTTCAGGTAAATGAACACATCCATGTGCCAGGAGGGTGGCGCACCCCAACTCTACAGGGACAGAAGCTCCTGTGCTCAGAGCCCTTCCCCATACCTTGCCCTAGGTACCTCTGCATCTGGCTGTTCATCCGTACGCTTTATAATAAACCGGTGACAGTAAGTAAAGCGTTTCCCTGAGTTCTGCGGCCCATTATACCAATTTATCAAATATGAGGAGGGGGCATCCTTCAGAAGTCCTGGAGGCCCAGGACTTGCAATTGGCATCTGAAGTGGGCGCAGCCTTGTGGGGCTGAGCCCTGAACCTTTGGGGTCTGCTGCTAACCCAGGTAGACAGTCAGAATCGACCTGAATTGTAGGATGCTTGTTACAAAAAGAAAAAGAAAAAAGTTTGCGCTAATATATTTTTTAAATAAACTTAGACTTTGTGGTTCTGAGATTCAATGAGTCTTGGATTTCAAGAGTCAAGGGATTATAAGTGGGAGCTAGACTATGGCTACACAACGGCAAACGGAGTAGTACAATGGACACTGGAGACTCACAAGAGGGGAGGCTGGGAGAGGGGGAGGGATGGCAAATTACCTGTGGGGTACGGTGTGCACTACTCGGGCGACGGGTACACAAAAGCCCAGACTCCGCCACTGTGCAATGTATACACGTAATGGAATTCAACTTGTATCCCCTAAATCTATTAAAACCATTTAAAAAGGGAAAAAAGAGAATCAACAATGACAACAAAAAAGAGACAAGGGAGATATTAATAGTATATGAGTTTTGGAAGGAGAGAGAAGAACAGACATGGCCTTTAATGCAGCCAGGCCTGAGTTCAAATCCCAAGTCAGAAGCATCCTAGGTGTGTGACCTGAACCAGTTCCTCAATCGCTCTGAATTTGTTTTCTCCTTTGTAATGAGCGAGCGGTAATACTAACCTCGCAGAGCTATTAGACTGAATAAGCATTTAGGGGCTGGGTGCGGTGGCTCATGCCTGTAATCTTAGCACTTTGGGAGGCGAGGTGGAGGATCCCTTGAGGCCAGGAGTTCGAGGTTGCAGTGAGCTATGATCGCACCACTGCACTCCAGCCTGGGCGACAGAGTGAGACCCTGTCTCTAAAACATAAATAAATAATAAATAAATAAGCATTTAACACAGAGCTGGTACCATAGAAGATGCTCAAGAAATGAAACTGTTAACTCTTCAGATATTTACTATTAAGATGTTTTCTGGATAATCAAAACAAATGAAATCACATAACCACACAAAAACTGACACACAAATGAATGTCTGTGGCACCTTTATTCATAATATCCAAAAAGTAAAAACAACACAAATATCCATCAGCTGATGAATGGGTAAACAAAATGTGGAATACACCTCCAATAGAATGTTATTCTGCCATAAACAGGAGTGAATATCTCAATAAGACAGTTTTTTTAATGAAAAGGAATAAAGTACTGATTCATGCTACAACACGGATGAACCTTGAAAACATCTGGCTAAGTGAAATAAGCCAGACACAAAAGGCCACATATTATACGATTTCATTTATGTGAAATGTCCAAAATAAGCAAGTTCATGGAGACAGAAAATAGATTCGTCCTTGCCAGGGGCTGGGGGAGGATGGAACAGGGAGTGGTTGCTAATGGGTACAGAGTTTCCTTTTGGTTGATGAAAATATTCTGGAATTAGTGGTGATGGTTGCACAACTTTGTGGATATACAGAAAACTGCTGAATTGTACAATTTAAAAGGGAGAATGTTATGGTACATGCATTGTACATGAATTTCATCTCAATATTTTTTTTAAGAGATAGAATCTCACTCTGTTGCCCAGGCTGGAGTGCAGTGGTGTGATCATAGCTCACTGTAATCCTCACTCCTAAGCACAAGCAATCCTCCTGCCTCAGTCTCCCGAGTAGCTAGTAGCTGGGACTACAGGCTCATGTCACCATGGCCAGCTAATTTTTTTTTTTTTTTTTTTTCTAGCAGTGGATTCCAGCTATGTTGCCTAGGCTGGTCTTGAACTCCTGGCCTCAAACAATCCTTCTGCCTTGGCCTCCCAAAGTGTTAGGATTACAGAAATGAGTGCCCACAGTCAGCCTCAATTTTTAAAAAAATTTTAATGATGGATAGAATACACATTTACTTTTGCTTCCTCTCTTACTTTGCTTCTGTCACTAAAGTGACAATGTGGGTTTTTGTTTTGGGTTTTGTTTTTGTTTTGAGAGTCTCACTCTTTTCACCTGGGCTGGAGTGCCACGGTGTGAGCCTAGCTCATGGCAACTTCAAACTCCTGGACTCAGGGGATCCTCCTGCCTGAGCCTCCTGAGTAGCTGGAACTATAGGCATGTACCACCACGCCAGGCTAATTTTTCTATTTTTAGTAGAGACGGGGTCTCGCTCTTGCTCAGGCTGATCTCAAACTCCTGAGCACAAGCGATCCTCCTGCCTCGGCCTCCCAGAGCCCAGCCTGCAATGGCTTTTTTTTTTTTTTTTTTTAAGTGTAAGTCTTCATTTGGTAACTCGGAGTGGAAAAAAGTATAAAAAAATAAAAAGAAAAAGAAAAAATTTATATTTTCTAAATTTAAAAAAAAATTAAAAGTGTAAGTCTATAAGAACAAAAAGAACAGAAACGAAAACAACGCATTTTAAAAGCTGGAAAACAGGTGGATTAGTGTTAAGTTCCTTAGCAGACCCCAAAAAGATAAATCCTAAAGCTGCAGCTAGAAAAGCTGAGCAGCCACCTGGTTATGTGACTCGGGAATTGGTGTGTCAGGGACCTGGGTGGTGAGTAAATGTAGGGCTGGAAAGAGGTTGGTTTGGAAGTCTATTTATGAAGCAGTTGGAACCCCATGTCCTCCTGCTCCAGAGTGCCCCTCACCCAAGAGACAGCTGGAAGTTTATTCCCCAGACACAGTAAAGGGCATGAGCCCTGACCTGAAACTGAGAGTCCCAGTCCTGTCCCCAGAATGCCACAGCCAGGCCTCCTCCCTCCAGGCAACAAAGTGGAGGAAACGTCTCTGTGGAACATGCCCATGCCAGGAGGAAAGACCTGAAGATTCTGACACTGGGGGTTTCCTGTAGGAACAGCCCAGCCAGATAACCAATAGGAAGCCCTTGGCTAAGCCCTACTCACGGGTCACAGCTCACACTCAGTTTTCTACACAATCAAGAATCATGGAACATCTAACGAAAGCCTTCAACATAAAAGAGAGTGAGCAAAACAAATACCCAAAGCACCACGGACGAAACAAATTACCATTAATGACCTTGGGGAGATAAAGGACAATACTGTACCCATGAAACAACAATATAATGCTGTTAATAGAAAGGTACAAATACTGTAAAAGAGCAAAAAACAGCTCTTGAAGATTTAAAATATGAGGGCAGATATTAAACAATCAGTAGACAGAAGATAAAGTGTTTTTCTTTTAATCTCCCAGAAAGCAGACTACAAAGATAAAGAAAAAAAAAATCAGAGAGAAAAGAGAATTAAATACCAACAGCCAAAATATGAGAGTTCCAGAAATAGAGAACAGAGAAAATAGAGGGGAAGGAATCGTCAGTGAAATAATTCAACACAATTCCCAGAACTCAAAGACGTAAATTTCCAAACCAAAAGGGCCCAGTGAGCACCGAGGACAAGGCACAAAAATGAGTTCACGGCAAGGCACATCGTCGTAGTTTCAGAAAAATAAAGACAAAGAGAAGATTCTGCAGATTTTCGGAAAGGAAAAAACAAGACATACACAAAGCATCAGGAATCACGATGACTTTAGACTTCTTAACA